GAACAAAGACGCGCTGACAGAACGGAGATCGGCGATCAGGAACCCTATGACGCTTTACGGTCTTTGATCGATGACAAATCTCATTGGAATTCCTAGATGGAGGCCTTGGTAGGAGCCCCTTGCTCAACAACAGGCAGGTACTAATCATGAGTTGAAAATTCTTCGGGATCGGTTCACCCTTGTCTCCAAGGTGCCCACTTTCGAAGGTTGAAGGAGAGTTCCAACGACCTTAGGGAATACTCGGCTGCTTCCAAAAGTCGCCCCATGCTGCAGGGGTCAGCAGCGACAACACTATTTCTTCCGCATAGGCAAGTAACGTGATCCTCTCGCCGAACACGTCGAATGCGGCTTCCGAATTAATGGCCTCACGGACCAGTTGGTCGATCAGTATCGGGCTCAAGGAGCAGCCCTTCTTCACCTCCGAAAGTAGGGTAAAGTCAGTGTACCATTCGCGAGTTAGCACGCGAACCGTGGAGCCGTCGTACAGGGTCTCCACGATATCGACGACCCTTGTGTGTACGGCGGAATCGACGAGTATGCGCTTGATTGTCGCATGGGGGACAAAGCCTAACGCGTTGGCACAGTTCGGCCACGCTTCCTCTGATCATGAGCGCATTCAAATACACATTGCATAATGAAAGTGTGCTCGAGGGCTGCCCCTCAAGCAGTAGGAGCTCTTTTGGGCTGGACGTAAACGGTCGTTGACGGAAGTCCAGCGCGTCAGCCAGCACAGCGACGAACAGCTTAACAACTACATCGCCCACCTTAGTAGGGCTTGTTGCTCAGGTCATCACGCGAACATTTCTTGTGTAAGTACTCCGTGATGCGTAGATTTATAAAAGGCTATAAAGTCGATATGATGTATGGACTGAATGATTGTGGAAAAATTTGAAGCGATATGTGTAAACCTCATTCCACTTCCTAGACCATCGTAATATTTCAGCCTCCATAAATAATATTAGGTAATTTTTGTGTCAAAGAGAATGGTGTTCATTGTGAACTCCGAGATGTGTAAAATAATATATGACTAAAATAAACTGATAAAATCAATAAGGTATATTGACAGAAAGAATGTGGAAAATGTTGAAAGGTCATATGTAAAAATCATTCCACGGTGCTCCGTAAACATTCAGGAACGATAAATAGTATTAGATGTTATTTATTCACAATAATGGTGTCCATGATGAACCCCGCAATGAATAGAATTACATAAGGCCAAAAATCTATATGATGTATTGACAGAAAGAACGTGGAATATTTTGAATCGCTGTATGTAATCCTCGTACCACGAACCAGATTACCGTAACGTATTCGTTTCGATAAATAACAACAGATAATATTTGTATTCAATATAATAGCGTACACAGTGATCCCCGCGATCCGTAGAATAGTATAAAACAATTAGATCAATATGATATATTGACAGAAGTAATGTCGTAAGTGTTGCATGGTGATATGTAAACCTCAATAGGCATACTGGATCACCATAATACTTCAGGACCGGTAAATGATGTTAGATAATATTTATGACCAATAAAATTATGTTCATAGAAATACCCGCGATGTGTATAGAATATTTTAAGGCCAACAGATCGATATGATGTATTGAAAGAATGAATGTCAAAAACTGGAAGGTCATGTGCAATCCTTATTCCACGTAACGAATTTCGGTTATGTTTCAGGATCGATGAATACTTTTAGATGATATCTATGTAAAATATGATAATATATGACCATTAGGTAGATATGATATCATGAGAGTATGAATGCAGAAAATTTTGAAACCACATTTGTAAACCTCATTGCACATACCGGAAATTCATTACAGGCTCGAAAAATAAAGTTAGATGATATTTATGTACAATAAAATGGTGTTTATAGCGATCACCGCCATCAGTTCAATAATATGAGGCCATCATATCAATGATATGATGTCTTTACACCATGTTTATCGAAAATTTTCAAGTGTCATATGCAAACCTGATTCCAAGTTCCCAAAGTCCGTAATATTTCGGGCATGGTAAGTAATAAACCTCACTCCACGAACCAGAACTCCGAAATACTCCGGAGCATCATAAAAAATATTAGACGATACCTATGTACAGAAAATTATGTCCATAATGATTCCCGTGCTGCATAGAATAATATAGCACCTCCAGATCGACTTCATTTATAGACAGAATGAATATCTACAATTTTTAACTGACATATTTAAAACTCATTCCACGAACAAAAATACCGTAATATTTCAGGCACGATATGTTGTATTAGATTACACACACACACACACACATACACAAACTCAATCACACAAAATAATGATTTTCATTGTGAACCCCGCGAGTAGAGTAATATATGACGATAAAAACAATATGATATATTGACAGAATGAATGCATAATATTACTAAACGTCATACGTAGACCTCATTCCACCTGCGGTGTCTCCGAACAAATTTAGGACCTGTAAATGTTATTAGATGGTATTTATTTACAAAATATGGTGTTCACTGTAAACCCAGCAATGCGTAGATAATATAGGACCGTAAAATCGATATATAGGCTGATCGAATGTGGAAAGTCTGAAATTCTATACGCAAATATAATTACACGTACCGTAACTCCGTTTTCAGGCTAAATAAATAACATTAGACGATATCTATGTGCAAAATATTGTGTTTCTTGTAAAGTCCGCGATGCATATAATAATTCAAGACCGTTAAATCGACTTGATAAAGTGACAGAATGGATGTGGAACATTTTGAATGACCATATGTAAACTTCATTTCATCAACCGAAAGTCCGTAACATTTCAGCCTTGATGAATAATATTAGATAATATTTATGTATAAGAAAATGGACAACATTGTGAACACCACGATGTATAGAATAATATAGGACCATATATCGATATGACATATTGACAGTATGAGCGGAAAATGCGCGACATACATATGTAAACCTCATTCTGTGTGCATGAAAGACGTCATATTTCAGAATAGGTAAATAGCACTGAATTTTATTTATGTAAAATAATGGTTTTCATTGATGACCATAAACAATAGTTTTCATGAAAATCACTGGAATGGTAGAATACGAAATGACCGATTAT